TAGATGGCACTCTGGATCGACTAAGACGCACGCTTTTGACAGCATTCTAGGCCGTTTGCTGGCCGGTGGGAATGCATCTTCCGCAGAAACATCTGGGGGGCTTCCAGCCATCATCGAAGTGCCGGGCTATACGGGGTCTAACCACATTCTCAAACACAGACTTATTAGTTAATGACTTGATGAGACTGAGAGAAAAGTAAATTTTCGTAAGAAAGAATGGACTTTGCGTGTGTTGGCGCATATTGTGAGATCTTACGAATGTTCGTCAGGTAGTCTAGCCGAAGCATTGCCGGGACTTTCAGCGTCTCGCCGCGAGCAATAAGCCACTATGACCGCTAGCAGAGCCCAGCCCTAGCATGTTTAGCTTATTACAGCGCCTTGAAGGAGCGCATGGTTCTTGCGGGGAAGACGCGGGGTTTGTGGGTGATCACGACGGTCACCGGTTCGTCCTACTTCGTAGCCAGCATCAAGCCTACTCCTGGGCAGAAGTGATCGATAACAATGGCTGATGACGAATCATACATCTGAGGTTCACGTCAACAGCCATTGTCTCTGAGGCGCTGTCTTCCGTTGGTTAGCATGATTGGAATTACGCAACAGTGGAGAGGCACATTTGCTCGGAATGCCGCCGGGCTACCACGCCAGGAGTTTTAGCTCAGGACATACGGTGCAATGATCCCCCGGAGAGTCCACACTCTTTGGAAGAGGCATTCACGTCCATCCAGGACGCATGATATTGAAAGAACGTTGTAGTATTGTGTTACACATATCTCTTTCAAGGCGATACCCGTATAGAAGCACCAACTAAATTAGACAAGTTTGACGGCTGCTGGCAATAATAGTAAACGACCGACAAAAAGCAGCCATAACTCGACAGGAAAGTGATGCGTTGTTGATGTACATTTTTACAGCCTCCGTCTAGTAAGCTACTACCCCTGCCAACTTTAGCAGTTGAGTGGTATGGTCTGCTTTTTCTAACGGCTCTGCTCGGTTCCGCGGATCAACCGTGCCGTCAGGCAAACGAGCTTTCATGTCACGAAGTTTGATATTTTCATGAGGCCAGTGGGTGGTGGCTCCGTTTGCACGAAAGACACGCTGCTTCTCAGCTAGAGAATCTTTTGATGCAAGGCTGGCTGGCGCATAAGCCGCGTAGATAACCGTTCGAATGGTCTCGCTCTTTTCAGTGGGTTCACCTCCCCAATGAATGGTGCGTGAATCCCAAAGAATCAAATCTCCTGGTTCAGCAAGCACCTTCCGTGGACTCAGACCTCGACTGCGGAACCAGTTCATGTCCTTGTCGTTAAAGTAGCGGTTGTCTCTCCATTCCCATGTCTCAGGCTGTGTCTGTGTGTCGAAAAACTCCTCGACTAACGCATGTGATCCCGGGATGACTACTAAAGAGCCATCCTCAGGACCGACATGGCTCAGGTTGATAATACCCTGAATGCAATGCATTCCGCGCTTTCTGGCTGCTTGGTCAACATGTGGCCACTGCCCGGACTGGTTTTAGGCCCGGCAAGGTTACGTTGAGCGAATCGAATGAGACGAGAAGGTCTTCTGTACCCCAGATCTTGACGAAGGCGTCTATCACTCCTGGCTCCATGCGGGCCTCCCACATGAACCGTTCGTGGACTACACCATAGTTCTCATAGGTGTTTTTATCTGTCTGAACAGGCAGATTTGCCCCCTTCCACGTCGATGGATCTTGCAAATCCAGCGAAGGGTCGAAGGATTTCAGCCACTCAAATGCCTTTTCTTGGTAATACCGTGCCTTCTCAGGCTTCACTGCTCCTTTCACCACTGCATATCCCTGAGACACAATGTCGTCTCGCCAGTCCCCGTACGTGCCTGTCAGGCTGAATAGAATTAGTCATGTAGAAACTTATGAGAAGGATATGTCTTACCCGAACGGACTGTAGACAATAGTTGATGCTGTGATAGTCTGAGTGCTCATAATCTTTGGTATTGTAGCTCAAATTCGCATGAAGTTAAAAAAAGTAGAGGTCGCTCATAGCCCAAGTAATCTTCAATTCCTGTATATAAATGCCATCGCAAACGAGGAACGATGCACCCAACGGCACCAGGAAGAATGAGTCGCTGAAGCGGAGGACCATTGTCCCGGAATCTGGCACCTAATACGCTAATGCCAGGAAAAGTATCATTGCTCCGGGGAGTGATACAGAGACAGAGAGGCTTTGACAGTGACACGCAGTCCAAGTTTACCGCTAGCCTGCCTGCAAGCAGACACCCGTAAGATCATCGAACCGGATTCAAGTCCCATTGTTTGCACAAGAAATACGATGCCGAAACTCGGAGAGAATGGTATTGTTCCACAACTTCGTTAGAAATGATACATTACTTTGTACGTGGCTACGCATAGAGTAGAGGGCAGAACTAAAGACCGTCTCTTGTTGATTCATCACTACCAGCGAGATGCGGATCCTTGTTACAGGCGCCGCCGGTTTCATCGGCCAAATCGTGACCAAGGCACTTCTGGACAACGCAGCAAACCAGCTCATTCTCACAGACATTGTCGAGCCACCAATTCCTCATGGTTCTAAATATCCCGAGAACGCCAAAGCTCTAAAAGGAGATCTTTTAGATGCCTCCGCAAGTCTTGTACAGAAAGGTCTCGGTGCAGTGATCCTCCTTCACGGTGTGATGTCTTCGGCAGCCGAGGCCAATTTTGACTTGGGGTACCGTGTGAATGTAGATGCTACGCGCGCATTACTTTATCAGCTAGCAAAGTCATGTCCTGGCGTTCGGGTGATATATGCATCCAGCGAGGCCGTGTACGGTAGCCCGGTGCCAAAGAAAGGCGTCACCGAGGCAGATATACCGACACCTGAAACATCTTATGGATGCCAAAAGATCATCTGCGAGACAATAATTAACGATTATACACGGCGTGGTCTGATCAATGGCTTTTCGCTCCGATTTCCCACGATTTCGGTTCGTCCTGGGGCACCAAGCCCAGCTGTGACGGCCTTCCTCTCGGGAATCATTCGAGAGCCCCTGAATAGCCAATTATGCACTCTTCCGCTCAAGGATCGGGCATGGCGGCACTGGATGTGTTCTCCAAAGACTTTAGTACACAATGTCCTCGTTACGCTGGATCTTCCCCGTGAAGCCCTCCCGCTTCATCGAAGAGCAGTTAATGTACCCGGATTTGCAGTCACGGTTCAAGACATGTTAGACGCGTTGGAAGAGGTGGGCGGTAAGGATAGATTGTCATTTGTGCGAGAGGAAGAGGATCCGGCATTGCAGTCCCTTTTGTACTCATGGGCTGACGATTTCGATAACACTCTTGGGCTATCATTGGGAATGAAACAGGACACATCCTTTGTACAATCAGTCTTAGATTACAAACAAACACTAGAACAAGGAAACTGAGAATCATGCTGTACGGGAATATTAGCAAATGAATGTCGTGGCCGTCAGCCATTCCTTCGCATGTCGCCTAAATCATATGAGTCCTACATATGTAAACTCCAACTAGACACCTGAGGACTTAGAATGTGTAGTAACCCTGGTCTGCGAATGAAGAGACAGGCTCGCGACATTACTTGTCTTACACCTTTTGGTGTTAGGTTGTGCCTGACAATTTCTCTCATTGTCGATTAAATCTACTGCAGAGTTGGCCTTGGATCGCTATCAAATCTATGCCTTGCCCGTTGACTTCAGCCAGTCCATATGATACTCAATTACTTCCTGCATCGCCTTGGTTTGCTCTTCCATTATCTGAGTAAGTGGCGCTTTCCCAGTCATTTCGGCTTGTACTTTGAGATATGCTGCTGTCACAGGTCCGTTGATGTTGACTTTTGCCACACCCGCAGCTATACATCTCTGCAACAACTCCTCCTTGAAGTAATCTTCGTGAGCTCCATGTAGGACGAGTCTCACTCTGTCACCGACAGATGAAGCAATACGCTCCAAACGGGGAAAGTCTAACTGTGGACCTTTCGGGCCATATGGGCCATGCACATTTCCAAATGCTGGAGCTAGCCAATGTATCCCCAAACTAACGAATTCCTCAGCTTGCTCTGACGTTGTCAAGATCTCCTCCATTCCCACAGTGTCAGCAATACCGTCTTCGCTACCGTTGATTCGACCGGGCTCGGCTTCTGTAATTATGCCACGAGCATTGCAGTATTCTACGAGCTCTTTGCTTAATCGCATGTTCTCTTCCCTCTCGTAGTGACTCATGTCCACCATAATAGCATCAAAGCCTCCCAGATCAGCGGACCGCCGAATGATTTCTGGTGATTGTGCGTGGTCCATGTTGATCCCAATTGGGACAGACGCTTTGTCGGCTGCCTCGGCAGCAGCATGAAGGAGAAGGCCATCGGCATATTCGATTGACCAAGGGAAAAGTTGTATTAGAGCAGGAGATTTTTTGGATTCTGCTGCCCGTACTGTTGCCAGAACTGCTTCCAAATTATAGCAGCAGACAGCAGGAATTGCATAGTGGCCGGAAAAAGCAGCGTCCACGATGAGCCTAGCGCGATTGGACTTCAGCTTAGAAGCTACACCGTTAACTCCGGTTGTCGCCATAATGAAAGATGATTTGATAGTCGAAGGGAGAAGCAAATTTTCATTTCTGTCGAATAAATTTATTACAGACCTCCTCAACTCTTGTACTTGACTACCGGAAAAAGATCTATGCAGATCCCGGGGTCGGGTTTGTTGCCGTTGATCTCGGTTTAGCACCGGAGGATCATTTGGAGACAGCGGGATGGCAAACTGCCGGGGCTAGCAACATACAGATCGGCTCTTGTCTAGCACTATCACACGGAGCCACCGATAACAAGGTGGTGATCTAGACAAGGGAGAAACTTTCAATCTGATTTTTTGTACTTGAGAGCTCATTCGAATCTAAGGTAGAATATGTATCTAATCCACGATCCTTACTGGCTATGTTTGAGGTGTATCAAGGTCAATTTACAACTAGATGCCGTCATTTTCATCTCAGACAGGCAAGTCAACAGAAGTTACGTGCTCTAGGCAGAGCGCGCGTCTTCCAGATGGACAGGAACAGCTTTGGATTCCATTGCGACCCCTTCAGCGACAATCTCTTGCTCGTCAACCTCGACGACATGGTCGCCGAATGCTGCAGCAATCTCCTCCAATGTTTTCTGGTTTGTTTCCCTTGACATTGGTCAGTGTATGGATTGCTCAAGGGTGTCGGGATACTTTACGGATAATAGAAGTAGATGATTCCCAGGTAGATGATGCAGCAGCCAATGAAGACATAGTAGTAGTTTTCATGAATATTTGCGAATGCGCTCGGTCCAGCTTCAGTAACTGTGGGACATCAGTGATTATATTTTGAAGGCTTAATTGTTTCGGAAATACGAACGAGAGACGTTGACGGTGTAGTGAGCTGCAGCAGCTATCCCCATTACTCTACTCCGAATAGACATGGGAAGAACCTCAGCTCCATAAAGCCAGGTCACACTATTTATCAAACTGTCTTCATGAAGTGGTCAGCACGGTTCGTAGACTAATTCAAGACGAAATTGAGAACTTACAATAACACACAACAAACAGATAGATTCCCAAAATGGCAAACCCCTTGCCGACGCGATTGTTGGTGTTCTGAAATTCGCGCTGCATTACAGCAGCATAGATCTCCGTTATAATGACGCAGCTGATTCCAGCAAGTAACATCCTAAATGTTAATTAGTTCTGAAAGCGTTAGTACTAATCATCAACCGGTACTAACTTGCGACGGCCCAATCTGTCAGGTAGGTAGACAATGGCAATCGCGTTCGAAACGAAAGCACAAGTGCCCCAGACCGCTGCGAGCGCGAGAATCGTCTGAGCACTAATACCCAAAGATTTATAAAGAGAGGCTGTCTTTTATTAGAATATTAGATTCGCGAGTACAGGCATCGTGTCTCACTTTGATAGTACTAATAGCACATTAGTAGTTTCACACCTCTGAAAGGCATTGAATTCGGGCTTACCTGAATAACATTGACACCGGTCACGCTGGTTAACACCTGTACGGATATTGACCTAGGATAATCAGAACAGTCGTTAGGAAAGTGAGATGACTTTGGTGGTGTTAGAACATACACTAGCACACGATGCCGGTAGAGTTTGAAGATCTCTCGGTATGATGGAATCTCTCTTGTGATCTCGTATTCGATCTGCGCTCGCATGAGTCCAAACTCTTCATGAACCTCATGCGAATGCAAATCGCTGCGTATTCGGATAAACTCTCTGCGTGCTGCTTCGACATTCCCCTTCTGAATAAGCTGACGCGGAGAATTTGGCATGAACGTCGCCAGACCAATGAAGAGAATGATTCCCCAGGGCACTTGGATAGCTAATGGGAGCCGCCATTGAACGCTGCCGTATGGAGCATATCCACAAGCAAATCCAGTCCAGTTTGCTGTCATTGTTCCCAGAGAAAGCCCTACTCCCGAGAGACCGCCGATCAAACCGCGAGTTTTAGGGGCTGATATCTCGGAAAGGTAGATGGGAACCGTACCACTCAAGGCTCTAATTTTGGAGCCATATTCAGAACAATGACTTGCAAAGGATGTAATGGGGTAGGCTTTCTGGTACATACCCAACAGCAATTCCAGCAAGGATTCGACCAGCGAGAAACATACCAACATTGACGGAAGCGGTTTGTATTACACACCCAATCGTGACAATTATACATGCCAGTTGCATAAATCGAATTCGCCCCAATTTATCAGCAATTAGAATTTGCATGATAGAGCCAACGGCTTCACCAGCAATGTATACCGCAACAACCTACGATGTATGTTAACGGATTGAAATCAAGTTTTGATAGTCGAAATGTCTCACCGCTCCGGTGAGACCGTTGGATGGATGGTTCATGTACTCAACCCAACTTTGATGGGCGATTGCTGTTTCGAATATTCGTCATCTTGTCTGGTAACACAGTGACGGCTTTATTTGGTGGAAGATACTCACTTGTCGTTGCAATACCGGTGTCGAACCCCTGAAGTCAAAGGTTTGTCAACAACATGGTCAAAGTTTTGCATGGCGCACATACATATAGAAACGTGCCTAGCGACGCAAAGGACGCGATGGCAACTGTATACCAGATATTCGACATGATGAACTACAATAGTAGGCGTGGCTGGCTTACGATACAGGATGAGAGTTGAGCAAAATGGCGACGAAGGGAACTCGGATCAAAAATGGTGAGCTTAACACAGAGTCATCATGATCATATGTAGGATTTGTTTGTTAGACAGGGAACAGGGGTATCAAGGAGCATCCTAGTGTCCCTAGTCAGATGTCAGGGGCTTATGGGGAATTCATGTGCCGACCTGCGGGGAATCTGACCTCTGCGGCTCAACATCCTTCCGGATCACCTATTCTCAAGTAACGCAATGCCTCTCAAAGAAGGAGAATTCGCATCAGTGCATTTTGCGCCATAATCTTTCTGTGCCTGTTCTTGAAAAAGAAGCGATTCTCGAAGTTGCATTACTAAAACCACTGTTCACTCTTAAGATAGCGACGATGTAGATAATCAACAACACGACTGATCAGTATGAGATCTAGTTGTTATCAAAAGAATTATTCTATCAGGCAAATCATGAAAATAAAACTTTGCACTTGATACGTCATAAATAACACGAGGCCCTAAGCCCGGGTGTTATAATAAGCTGAAAGATATCATGGTAAAGATCGCATAAGAACCTATAAACGACATTCGATGCCCCATAGTAATACTTCTACTGACTCATAAAATTATGTATCTTCCAAATCCCGCCATAATTCGTTGAGCGACGGCTATATCAAGCCCCATTGCCATTGTACGCAAGGAGATTTGGGCTCCCGGTTCCAGGTCTTGTGACCACGTCTTTCGTAGCAAGGTTTTTGATGATCTCTGTCACCGCTACCGGGCTGCCCAAGCCACTTTGTGTGCTCTTTAGGTAAAGAACCAGTCCAGCAACATGCGGTGTAGCCATGCTGGTGCCTGAGATTTCTGCCGTAGCATCATCTGACCCGATCCAAGAAGACAGAACATCGACGCCAGGGGCAAAGATGTCCACAACCTTCCCATAATTGCTGAAGCTTGCCTTAATGTTGGTCACGTCGATGGCACCGACCGTGATCGCATCTGGAGCAGATGCTGGAGACGTGCTTGAGGCATCGGACCCGTCATTTCCGGCTGCGACAACAGTGATCACACCAGCTTGATAGGCTGCTTCAACTGCATTGTTGAAAGCATCGGACTTTGGGCCACCTACAAAGGTTAGATAAACGACAAATAATGGACTAAGATCGCATATGAGTAAATCCTACCAAGGCTCATGCTGATGACCGAAACGTCAGTCCGGCCAGTATTGGCAATGTCATTGACCGCCCAGTTGTAACCATCCAACACGATTGAAGTCGAAGACTACACCTTGATTAGATTCTCAAATCTCCAGGTGAGAATTTTTCATCTTACTGAGCCAGTGTCAAAAACTTTGACTGAAATAAGTGTGCTCTTCTTCGCAACACCATATGCTCGAGATCCTATCGTTCCAGCAGTATGGGTCCCATGGCCGATCTGATCAACGAAATCACTTCCTGGATAAGCATTATAGCCAAGTAAGGCACGGCCCTCAAACTCAACGTGAGAAGTCAAAAGCCCAGTGTCGATGATGTAGGCATATGTTCCTATGCCACCATCCGAGTCATAAACATACTCGGTGAAGTTGGGCTTCGTGTGGGAGATACTCCCGAGACCCCATGGTGCGTCACCCTGAGTGGTTAAGTCATTCAAATACCAGACCATATCAGGCTCAACAGCAGCAACCTGCGCTGCATTAGTTTTTGCAAGGAGTTGAAAGGCTCGAAAGTACAAACCTGCTTGTTACGTCGAATCCGGGCAACGGTCTCATCATCGAAAGCACCTGAGTACCCTCTGAAACTGTGTATGCCGAAAGTCTTCCCAACGCCTGTGTGAAGTTCACGACGGGTTATGCTCCGAGAATGAACATCATTGACCCAAGCGAGATGACTGTTTACTTCTGCTCCTGGTTTGAGTGTCACAATGTATTTCCCAGGGATGGCGTCTCGCTTGTCATTGACCGGCAGAGACCACGTAGGCAATATGGCGCCCAAGATTAGGGCAAGTTGCTTGAAACCAACCATAATGACTTGTTTGTGTATTGGACCAGTGAAAGGTACTGAAGTGCAAATTTTATGGATGGCTGTAGTTAAGACACCTGATTCTCTGCGGCCTAAACTTCTTTTATATTCCCCAGCCTCTGGTCAGTTGTTTGACTTGCTATGTTTGACCCATTGCGTAGAATGTTATCTTGACACCATGCTCGAATGTATAATGCCTAACTTCCTAAGTTGGTCTAATCCACCTCGCAGTTTCCAAAGAGCTCACATTAGAAGGCCCCGAGCATTGCATTCCGAATTGCTAAAATAGTCATGCTTGTGCAGATGAGCAACTGATTAGAGAGTCTGATAGCAATGCACCTGCCATCAGTGCGTCGCAGCGAAGTCGCATGACAGCATGGAAATGGCGTTCAAAAGTCACAGCATGGCGTTCGGTTGCGATGGAGTATGGTCAGAGGATGCCACACGATTGGGTGTTAATATAAAGGGCACATCCAGAAGAAGCAAGTCTTTATTGCGAGTTCTCGTAAGCGACAGCGGCATGACGCTCATGCCCATGCCAGTAGTCTGGAAAGCAGTTTGGTATACTTCCAGGATTCGGCTTCCGGTATTGGCACTTGTAAGTGTAGGGCGGCTCTCAGGGTTGGCAGTTAATATAGCTGATAGTGGACCCGCCTGTGACGACAGTCGCAATATATTGCAAGCCCTCCAACTCGGGCTAACGAGCTCGCGAATCTTGGTGGCATCTGACTTAGCATAGCCATGAGGGTCGGACATATTCTCAATAATAGTGTGCTAAGAATGGCCCAAGCCAGTAGGGGACGACATATATGTTTAGTCACCTTCCTGAATTTTCTGTGGTCTTTCTCAAGTCTTGAATGATTATCCAGGCGTTGCTAAATGACTGCGCCGCCTGGCACTGGCGTACAAGGAAGAATTTGTGAAGGGACACCAAGGTTTGGAAAGCATGTTGAAATCTGATAATCAGATAAATCGTGATTGTATGTACGCCTAAGGAGGGAATTTGAAAAGGAGAGTACGCCGACCAATGCTCAGCCCTACTGCCTCTCTAGGCTCTCCACCGACCCAGCCGGTGTAAATGCTTAGACTCCGATCCCAATGCTCTATGTTGTCTCTTTCCTGTGGTATTCATGACGCTATTTAGTAATGGTAAGAGTTGTCTAGGCAGAAGGGGATGCTGTTAAGGTAGTCGCAGTGAGTATCAGCTGGGCAGTCGCCATTCCACTGCAGAATGATAATTAGAATTGACAGCACTAGTCACGAGGAGCTACAAACTCACCTGGAGATGATTCGTAGAGTCGCAGACTCGAATCCCAGGCACGCCTGTCTCCGGGTTCGTGCCACACTGGTATGTCCCAGGAGCGGAGCACGTCTCATCACGCTTGGTAGCTGGGACCTTGCAAAAGGGCAGGGTGGGCACGTCACCAGTGCCCTCAACATACTCGCAGACAGTGCCAGTTGGGCATGGGCCGATTTCCTATGCTTGAGATTAGCGTCCTGTCGAAGTAGTCGAACCCATCAAGAGCACGTACAGCCAAGTGGAGCGTGGCGTCGCATTGAAGGATCTTGGTACCATCGGCACTGCAAGAGTATTGGCCCAAAGCGTCGCATGTGGCTCCGTCACGCTTTGTCTGGCTAGACGGAGCAGCCAGTGCAGTGGCGGCAAGGGCAAGGACGGCGGTCGTGAAGTGCATTTTCAATTATTTTGAGATTATTAGTCTTGTTTGAGTGTAACGAGATAAATAGGAAGCAACTACTAAGAGATGAGGAGCTGGGTTCTTATGATCAGATTATGGTTGGTGACAGAATAAGGCATACTCTCAAAGACAGAGCCGCTTTACTTATATACATGAGGTGCTTCCATCGATATCATGATCGCGATGTCACGTTTCTCGTGTTCATCACTAGCTTGCGGAAAATAGAAACATACTCTTGGCATGCGCCAGCTATTGTCTATCGAGGCTGAGGCTGACTTGGAAGATGCTCAATGCGTCCAACGAAGATGGGTGATGGACGAGAACGTCGTGGCCTCCGTCATACGAGCGCATCAGCGCGTCTCAACAAACGAATGTGCTACCCGAGACGTCCGAGACGGTTAAGAGTGATCATGCGGCTAGAACAAGGCCAGGAACCCGACATTTGTGGCAGCAAGACTCGAAGGGTTACCTAGAAGAGCAATGACGTTCATGGGATCGCATTTTGTCGCATGGTTCGACATTAGGACGAATTAAAGCACACGCAGCTGACAACCGACAACCAAGCCGCTGTACAAGCCACCGTATTGCATCGGTGGAAATACGAACGACTGTGGAGGGCGTAATAGTTGATCCACATGAAACATGGACCCTTACGGAGTAGTGCTTATTGCAAACGATATCTGGGGTAGCCCGGCTGTCGCGTGGAAGGGCTGAGCAGGTTGTCAGCCCTTGCCGAGCGGTGCGCATTTGCTGGAAATGCCGGCGCTTGTGCTTTGCTACGCTTTGCTATGGCACGGAGATGCCTGAATGGGCACAAAAGTGGAAGACAGGGTATAGACTTCTAATTCTCTGATAGGGTTAAATTATTAGCTCGACAAGGGTATTATTACCTCCTTAACGAGGGATTGCTACCTTTGTAGACGTTGATAGACGTATAGTAATTAAAAGAAACTTCGAGATGTTGTTGAGTATCATGACTCTCAACATTTGGTATCTTAATCCTTAAAATTAGCGTTAGTACCATGGCGGAGAAGTACATACTACTACTCTGCTAGAAGTCTAGTCTTCAGTGCTGGACAACAAAGAGCGTTTCCAGCCCATCAAGGAGCATTCGAACTGAAGTCAGGACAGGGCCCACTTGCATGGAGTCTATAAAGACAGAAATAGATCACACGTGTTCTGTTTTCAAGACATAAGACCCGATTTCGTTAGGCATATTCCTTGGAGGTAATACGAGCAATTAGTTTTAGATCTACAATGCCAATGTCATCAATCGGTCCCAATCTGAGCCCCGATCACCAGTAAACTCTTCCAACCCATTCTTTGTCTGCACGCAGAGCTTGTCGCCTTTGAAATAAGACAAGACACCACCTTTCCCATCTCCTCTCGCTGTAATCCTGTACAGTGGGCCCTCTGTGTGGACCTTTTTACGTTCCGGTATGAACTGAAGGTCATTCTCCTGGCACCAGTCTTCCACAACACTTCGGAAGCTGATCTTCTCGGGTTCTTGAATAATAGGCGCTGATGCTGGATGATGGCGGTGTTTGTGTTGAGGCTCCTTGGCTGTTTTCTTGACCTCAAAGGCCGGGCCTTTTCGGGGAGGAACCAAGTGGGATTTCGCATTCTCACCGAGGTTCAACGCCTCCTCGATCATTGCAGTGCCCTTGTCAAACTCGGCAGCGATAGAAGGTAACTCCTTGATGTCCGCGGGAAAAACTTCATCATGCCACCATTCGAACCACTGCCCGATCTCTTCATAGTTGGCATCATCCATGATAAGCCACTGGTACAGCACATCGTGCCATTTCGGAAAGACCTCGGCGACTATGACTTCGCCAATCATCGTAGGCGAGATGATGTCCAGCCACTTTAACACGCCCGTCAACATGGGAAGATAGGTCTCTTGATCGCTTGGGTCGACACGGAAGTTTGCTCGCAAATAACGGCCCATGCTGGGGAGTATGTGATTCATAACGAGGGGATACCATTGATCGTTAGACTTGTTAGGCCGAAGAACATCTTTCCACTGCTTCAGCCCCTTGATGACTCCATGATCGAAATCCCAGACATCGATGAGCTGACGGAACTTTCTCTTCACATCAGAGACAAGACCCGTGGAGCTCTTGGGATCGAGGTGATGCGCAGGAAGATATTGCAGCCATGGGAATATCCAGAGGTGAGGTAGGTTATGATGCTTCTTCCTCTTCGGCTCCCATTTGGCAACAGCTTCGTCCAACTTTCGGACGATATCTTGCTCAAGAAGTTGGCTTCGCACAAAGCCAGGAAGTAGTTTCTCCCATGCTTCATACACAGAAAGCATTTGGTCGGCCTCGCGTACATTCCAATCTCGCACAGCGCGAGATACGTGCGGTAGCCACAACTTATACATCATGCTTTCGTAGGGAGTTGCCGCAGAGCGTCGATGATGTCTCGTTAGAGAGGACTCAAACCCGAGCATCCCTTTGATGGAAATCAGGTCCGCAACCATGTAGGGGGTTGATTCCTCCAGAGGGTCCCATGGCTGTACTGCTTCTCGAAATAGAGGGTGTAGCGCTGCAATAGCAATAAAGCTCATTTCATCCTTCATGGCCTTGATGGTCAGATCTGATGTTGCCTCATTCGCCTTGCGTAGGAGCGACACAACTCTGTCCCAACGCTGTCTGAGTTCCTTGCCCACTTCTGCGAGACCTTCTTCGGAAATAGATAGTTCATTAAAGACGCTCGCAATCGATCGATGGTCCTCGAGCGCTTTGTCCAACTCTCCTAGTTCCTGGCGTTCCTGTTGCAGTTGAAGTTCAGCGAAGGCTTTTCGTTCTTGCAAGCTCTGCCACTCCTCCAAAATAGCCATAAAGTCGTTTTGCGCGCGACGCGCCAATTTGCGCGATTCAGCTTGCTCTACGCTTTCCGCACTTGTGCCACCAGTTGGCGTCATCAAGCCAGACGAAGAGGTCAGCATCTTTTGTCCAGGACCCGTAAGATCCAAGATCGGCGTGAAAGCATCGGGAATATTTAAGCCAGGAGCGGCTTTTTTTACCTCATCTAGGGTCATGAATTTAGACTTCTGCCGTCGGGGAGTGCTGGCACCGCTTCCAATGCCACTGCTGATCCCGCTTGCCTGCGCTCTCTTCTTCCTGGCTGCTTTCCTCTTCTTTTCTTCTTCATCGGAGTCAATGACGACTTCTCCGCGCAATCTTGCTTGTCTCTTCTCCTCTTCTCGCTCTTGTAATGTCTTTTCTTTTACTGCACCCAAGCCGATGTTTTGTGGTCTCAGATTGGCTTCGATGATGATATTTCGACCCTGTCCTTCTTTACCCAGACCTTGGCCCTCCACGTAGCCCATCTTAGCCATCATCCGAGCACCAAATGACTTGGGATTGACCTTGCCACTTCCAGATTTCCCAGGCTTGCCGGATTTGGAGGAGAATGCACTGGGCCGAGCCACCTGAGGCGTCGGAGAGGCATCATTGGTAACATTGAGAACAGGTTCGTACGCAGAGGATGGAACGAACCCCTGGCCCAAAGGCGCAGTGTTGTCAAATCTCGTCTTCGTGGTGGATTTCGACGGCGTGCTCAAGAACTTGGTCTTCATAGGAAACTGCGTTTGCGTGGGTGGTGCCCAGCCAAGCCCTTGAGCGGCCGAACCGCCAAAGCCCAGACCAACTCCTGGAGTGTCCCCTTCCTCGTCGTCTTCATCCTCGTCCTCGATGGCAGGCGCCTTCATCGTATCCATATCCTCGTCATCGTCTTCGTCCGGTTGGTCGCCGTCTTCCGAGTCTTGCGCATTCTCTTTCTGCGACACGAAACTCACGCCTTTGCTCCGCAAAGTCTTCCGCTTCCATCGCTGACCAGGGCGCTCATCTTCGCTATCGGAACCGAAAATACCAAGCGCAGCGCTCTCTTTGGCATTGCGGCCGGTGCGGCGGCGTTTGCGAGGGTTGAAGTCGGCAAACTCGTCGGCGTTTGGGTCGGTTGAGGGTATGAGAAGGTCGTCATCTTCCTCTTCAGAGTCGGATGAGGAGTACTCGGCGGCTCCTGCCTTCATCTTGGAAGGATCAAAGCCTTTGAAGGACGCCATCACTTCCGCGACCGTGAACAAAAGCTCGAAACACGAACAAAGGAAAGTTGAGTTGGCGATTGTGGTGGCCTGCAACTTTTGCCTCTGCGGGCTTGATGCACTGTGATGAAATAATCGGTCCCCATAAAATTCTTATCTCCACGTGACGCGGAAGTAAACAAGTTGACCCCCAAGCTACCTAGACCTGTCAAAATCAACAAGCCATTCTCAGAACATTACAGCCATCATCTCACATGATATAATAGCCTTTTGGACTTCATAAAATATTCTTTGAATGATTTACTGTGACAGAGTTGATGCTTAGGCAGTCTCATGAGTCACAAGCGCAATGCACTCACTGAATGACTTGTTTGTAAGAGCCACCTAAACAAAGGAGGCAGCCAAGTCGCGTTTATCTCGAAGACTCTTCAATATCATCATCGTGCTCCCACATGTTTACTACAAGCTTGTCTTCTGTGTATACAGACCACGGGACAATAACCAACGATGTCGAGTCATGGTAGATGGAATCACGTTATGAGTGTCAATTGCCAAATTCTACTGCTTTGCCCCTGGAACACTTGCTCAGATCGTAGACAAGCTCCACCTATCCAGCCCGACCAGCTTCAGACACTAGAACATGCTCATATTGAGCAGATGACTTTATTAAAACATCAATCCTATATATTTGCAGCGATTTGCTTGAGGAACATCGCGTTAAATGCTCAAGCACTGAAGTCTTGCACATGCAGTAGACTAGTCGACACCAAGATTCGATGCAAGTACATGTGCTTCATGAGCAGAAGCGGCACGCTGAGCACAGGGGCTTGATGATCTAGTCATCGACCAGGTCATATCTTGCACAAAAACAGCTTTGTGTGGCAAACGAAGATTTACCTAACAGTCTTTTGTCGTGGACTCGTTGACGGTTTGGTATACTTGCAGCCTGGGCAAATCGTTCATTTACCTATTAAAGCAAAAGCAGTGTTGAGTAAGGAGGTGCAAGATGAAAGTATCGAGTCAGCATTAGTCCCAAAGGAGGTATTAGGCTTTGCCTACCTTGCTCTGCTAGGGCTACCTTTGTTTCCCTGCATGAGAGACCAGACAAGGTAGCGTAAAGGTTACGAAAGTATGGTCCATCCGAGCTTGGCCGCTAATCAAAGGCCATCGATATCCGAATACAAGATATGCTGCCTACCGTGATTGTCAAAGCATCCTACCGGCCTACACGAGTCCACCACTGAAGGATGAAGAAAGGATGAAGAGGAGGACCAATGTTGACTTGGCAAGACTTGGCTTCGGATTATCTGCTTACTTGATGCGAGTCGCCTCACGTATCATTGGCGCGTTGGTTTCATGGGATCAATACTACGGCAATGCAACACTGACAAGGGTCCCACCAAATTAACAGCATCTTGGCGCTGAATGGAGTCGTTCAGACTACGTTCATTTCGGGCATTTCTTTACTCGTCACGTTTACTAAAAATGTGAGAACGTTGATTGATGCTTAGTTCATTATTTTCAAGAAGCAAAAGTTGGTATCAACACTGCCCACGATATTGTGGGTTATCAACACATCTGCCAACAACTTAATCCACCTACTACAATCAAAACACAAAGCTCCTTCATGCAAATTAAATCTGATGATCCTCTTCTCGCGCACCAAGATATTTTATCGATCGGTGCGCCATGATCACATCTGTCTGGAAACAGTCTAGATGTGATGAATCCAGCCAGTGAGCTTGTTTCCGAGCTTGCCCTTGCTTTCAGCGATCTCGTGCTCGGCATAGAATCTGCGACCCTCGTCCAGGTCAATGGTGGCGCAGTCGACCCACCGACGGCCTCGGAAGTAGGCCAGCTTAGCAACGATGTAAATCACGACAGCTGCAATGACGGAGACGTAGACTGCGAAGAAGCTCCTTGCAGACGACTTCTCACCGAGAGGCCAGACGGCCAGGTAGAACTCGGCGATGATGAGAATAATGCACCAGGCGAGACCCCAGTAAGCAGCCCACGGCCATGTCCATGTCTTCCACGGCAGCTCGTGGACGTCGCGTCCCTGGATCTTCCAAGCGCGTCTCATGCGGATGTGGGACAGGCAGATCATGCCCCAGCCATAGAGAGTGAAGAGGGAGGTCAGGTTGGAGAACCATCCAAAGACTTCGGCTCCGGTGTGATCAACGTTGAGGTATGCAAGGGCGCCACCAATCAACAAAGTAGGCACAAGACCGTACCATGGGCGACCCCAGCTATCAGCCTTCATCATGATCTGTATGAAATAATTAGTATTAAGAATGAACAGTCTTCATCGCATTGATTACACACCTTGGGTGCCATGCCGATCTGAGCAAGTCCGACCAGAGTTCGGGAGCCAGCGTAGCCGGAAATACTACCAGTTGAAACAACAGAGATGAAAATAATGGCGTTCATGATGTGAGCCAATGGGGCGAGGCCGGCATTGCGGTAAGCAATGACAAATGGGGATGCGTTAGTGCCAGAGCCACCGAAGAGGTCCTCATCGTAAGGCGAGACGGTGATGGTCACCATGAGAGATCCCAAGATGTAGAAGAGAGCAAGTCGGATCCAGATGGAGCTGACTGCCTTCGGAACAGACTTGCGTGGGTTTCCTGTCTCAGCGGCGACCAGACCAGCGTTCTCTGATCCAGACATGGCGAAGATACAAGTAGGCATGACAGCAAGGAAACCCTTGAATCCGTGGGTGAAGCCATGCGTCTGCGTCCAGTAGCGGAAGCCAACAGCGTCATGATTCGGGGCGCCACCTGCAGAGATGACAATGAAGGAGATGATGACAACAAAGATCCACCCGAACTTAATGGCGGATGCAATGACCTCGATCTCTCCGAAGAGTGTAACGGCACCGATATTGATAAGGATAATGACAACCCAGAAGATGGTAATCCAGGCTGCTGTAGGTACCTTATCGGTCCAGAAAGAGAGGACAGTTACCACACCCTGAAGCTCGTTCGCAATGGTGATCCAGAATGAGAACCAGTAGCACCATCCGAGAGTAAAACCAGCAGCAGGATCGACGAACTTGTTGGACCATTGAACGAAAGCAGAGGGCAGAGGATACATGACTGCCATCTCACCAATCGAATGCGACACAGCCCAAATCATTGAACCGGAGAGAAGGTCTATTGTTGCACGCTTGTCAGGCACCAGCAACATGAAAATGCTACATGTCAACAAATGTGTGTAACTTACAGCCGATGAAGATGGCAGCAGGACCGCCCGCAGACAAACTCGAACCGCTACCCAGCCAGAGACCCATGCCGATCGAAGAGCCCAGGGCAATCATGGTAATATGTCTGCTGCTGAGACGACGCTGCAGCTCACTGTCGGCGCCATGGTCGCCGACAATCTCGCCAGGGGCGACGACATGGCCTCCGGGAGGAGGAGTAACGCGCTTCTCGACGTCGTGGTCGCTTGACTCCATGTTGATGATGTCGCGACGACTGAGCTTTGGCAAGACAGAGTCGTGATGAATGGAGGGAAAGAAGGAGAGGGTGTCACCGGAACGGGAGCAGATCTCATGGGGGGGAGGCCGTATTAATTGGGCAGATCCCCAGCTTCTCCTGCACGCAGGGAAGCAAGCATGCACTTCACTCGACGGAACCGCACCAGAAGCAGAAGCAGCAGCAGCACCGGGAGCAGGGGGGCGTATTGCCTCATTTCGTGCTGTGCTCCCTTATCTCTTACTCGAGGGATGCTCTTGGTCCTTGCCAACCTGGGATCATAGCACCACCAGTAATGTAACATGCGTACACCTTCCCCATCGCGTAGGTAGTGGTCAGTCCACCGTACGTGTACGGGAAGCCCGCCCGAAGGCGTGTGCAACGCCCAAGCCAGTCAAGGGCCAGCATTGACGCCCGCATCATCGACCTTCTTGATAAGGATACCAAGGCTGATAGGGGAGACTGGCGGCTGCCAAGCAGCCCAGAGGAAGGTCGTATTGCCGTTCTAACCGCGGATTAGCTCGCCTAGCAAAAGCCACCTCGGCCTCCAAGCAACTTGGAATTGCTTGTGTGCCTTGGGAGTATTGCTTGTGGTGCTTATCTATTGCTGGTCGGCTGTGATTCGCTGGAAGAGCTGGTGATATGCCACCCGTCGATCGTCTCCGCATTTCTGGCCACGGCCCCCTGTCCATGCGCCCGACCAATGCGACCACGCCGCCGTCCACATCCATGGGGGCAAGGGTGTTCGAGGGGGCCAGACACTCGCATTTCAGCTTTCTGGCACAGTAATCTCGTCCGTGTGCACTGCGGCTTGGCCTGCCCTGCCAAGGTGGAATGATTGCGTGTATTCGGCCCTGATTTGGCCAATACGCACCGTGCAACTTCTCGGCGAGACCGACCTTAACGACAGGCTTCGAGCTTCCGACAGGCTCAACACTCCTCGAACAGGCTTCCATTTTTCCAGAACGCGAGGCGACTTATGGCGCCGTTCTGTCGGGTCTCCACCCGTCGTCGTTGCACTTCATCGTAGACGAAAGGCCATCAATCAAGGGCCATGCTAGAGTTGGAACCAAAAGTGCCCCCTTGAAACCCCCACTCAGCTGTCGAGATGTCAGGTTACCTGGAATCGAGCTGACCGTTGATAAGGCTCTAGAGAAGATGCTATAGGTCGCTTTGTTTCGCCTTACCCTGCGCATGTGTCAAAGATCTCGACATATAAACCATCCTCGGTGCTCCCGAGCTCAGGCCCATAATCCGTTTGGCCACCAAGAATGAAACGACTCTAGTACAGCTCGGTAGAGGCTCAAGACACCAGTAGCCTCAAGCCAAGCGTAGCTGCCAAAGCTGTCTTCTATTCTCCTTCTAGTTCCCCGATCCACTAGTTCTTGTCTTTCGAACGACTAATTGCGCCCCATGACCTCATCCCAGTTGACCATTCAGTGGATCTGTCTCCATTTCGATAATGTTATCTTGGTTGGACTGCGAAAGAGCATGATAGCATCAGGAATGAATCTCCTGTCGCAATTCATTCCCGTTAACCTTCGCGCCAATAATATGCCACTGGAAGTTTTTTGAAATAGTCTGTGCGCCTGAGGCCTCTGCTTGATGGCTCGGTCAATTGCTCCTTATCTGTCTCACTGTGGATCGGCGATTGGAGAAGCTCGATTCCCTCGCTAGGCATGCATTTGCTCGATTTGTTTCAATCCTTTACTGGATTTTTGGAGCTTGTAACCAAGGCAGAAGCTGTCCAACCTGTCCTAAACTAGTCTACCTCGTTGGCCACCACTGTGAAATTCATGCAGTTGATGGTCACACTGATCGTGACACTCGCTGGTGCATTGTTTTCTAAATTTGCCGACTGTTTGGGGCCAGTGCCGTGTTTTTCAGCACACCCATATTGGATTATGGACCCATCTGGCCGTTGCCTTTACCCGTTGATTGCCGAAGCTAGTCTTACATTGTTGTCAACTGATCCTTCATGTCTCTGCTATTGGGGAGTCGGGTAAGTGTGTATTATTGAAGCATGCATGCATCCAACAAGGTCATACGCATCCTTGCTTTCATTGGTTGCCCCTCAGCCGTTTCCATATGTTCGCAGCACGCCATAACAACAACCCCTCCTAATGGCTGTGTCCGCCATTTGATCAATGTCTGTATATGCTCACGAGGACTGCCAATGGCGCATAACCAGCGGGTTTATTCATGACACAAGAGCCAAGAGCCAGACTCCTGTGCTCAGGGGCTATTGAGATAAGGGTCTTTATGGGAGCATGCCATTGAAATCGGTTGGCAAAGTCAACAAAATGACATCAATAAGTCACTAGCTTCGTACTATTATGCAGCTACAGCTTTAAGAAAGCCGGCGCTTTCACTACCTTGCACCACTTTGGCGATCGGCGTGAGATAAGCCTCAGCGTCTTCGCTATCCTGTAAATGTCGAACATAGGCCTGAGCTACTCGGAGCCAGGATGCCTTCTCTGCCTTGCTGGCTCCTTGCCCTTGCCAAACCCATATCTCTTTGCCCGCATCATCCAGAATGAATACGTCATTCCCGTCCAAATCGGTCAAAGAGACCGGGCCGCTATCTTTGATCAGACTAAAAGATAGTTGGCCAGATGCGTCACTAAGTCTGAATAGCTTCTGATGCCGGCGGCCGCCCAGGACTTTGGAGTGTGACTGAACAGGTCGCGCGTGCCGGAATTCGAGGCGAGATTCATCGTCACCCAGCAGCTTAACGACAAGTCGGGATCTAGACTCCGTCTGGGAAAGAACCTCAACATCGACATGCTTGGCGAGCGTCATATCATGAACAACTTGCGCTGCCTTGGCCTTCTCCATGGGGCTACATTTCTTGCCTTGCCATACCCAGATCTTGTCTCCCTTGTCCAAAATGAAGACGTCCTCCTCGTCGAGACTTTGCCAGGTCGGCTCGACTTCGACCACCACAACCGAGTCTCGTCCAGCGGCACTGGGATGTTTGAAGACGCGCAACAGAGTGAGAATGTCCTCTTTTGGTGCCTCCTCCACATGCCGAAATCCGGACTGAACTCCGCCAGATCGAATGGACAACCGTGGAAACAGCTCCATGAAGTCATCTGACGGGCTTTCCTGTATCTCGCGATGCTGGGTAGCGGCACCGTGCAGGAACTCGTCAAGCTCGACTGTCTTGTATGCTGCAACGCCGGCCTCATCCTGAGACGTATGACTACCGAGCCAGAAGAAGATGTCGTGACCGAGCTTCTCGGTTCCATCTTTGCTGCCAACTTTGTACGAGTGGAGCACAATGTAACTGTCACCGTCGTAGAACTGGCCATATTTCTCCTTCGGCCACGGTACAACTTCAAAGTTCTCAATGCGCCAGACAAATAGCCCGGCGCTGTCGCCGATCGAGCCGTTGTTCCAAGCTGGTTCGGTCTTTGCAGAGTTGTACTTGACCTTGTGGTCGATGTCGGTGCCAATCAGCTCCACATTGCTGTCTTTGATATCGTACTCTTTCAAGTGAACTAATCCGTGGTTTGGTGCCATACTGACGATAGCTCAACTATGGCTTTGAGATGATACTTCAGTATTAGATACCGCTGCACAAGTGGTGAACTGCCTGGTGTTGTCATCTGTCCAGCGTTTCAGGTCAGGGGCTGTGTGGATCTCGGTGTGGCGTGCGGGGAGATGAGATCCCGATTGGCTTACGCGAATCCACACCGAGTCCAACCCAGTGATCGTCGAAGGCACTGCTCACTCACCTCAGCGTATACCTTCAACTTTTGATGACTGATGATCCTGTGTAACTTAGTTGAAATGCTTTAATAAATGAACAGGGACTTCCAAAGGGTGTGAAATCGATTTGTTTTGTAACTATACGTGAAGGTTGAAAGTCTTTGATTTTTATTTACTCAAACGTAAATAATTAAGCAAAATACAATATCTTTGCAGCCGTGGACTTTGATGGTATGCAAACAATAGCTGACAGATAGTCTATAGACCTTCAAATTTGGTGGATACGATACAACAATGACGAGATTAGGGCACTTCTTACACATAGATGTCACACATTGATGCAGAAAGCCGTGTTTGCCTCCGTAGACGACCTCTCATAGACCGTCAGGAATCATACAGCCGATTGTTCTGTGAGTCTCTTTGGGTCTACGTGAGAAATCCTCCTTCAAGGCTTTCGATCGCCCATTTACTCATTTACTGCCGAGTATTCTTTGTAGCTGGTGAACCGTGGCATTACCAATGGTAGACCAAATTTCAAAACTTTCGGTGATTTTGAGTCTGTCATGGCCAATCTGCCAATCGAGCTGGTAGATGAAATACTTGACTACATCTACAAAGCAGGTTAGGGCAGAACTTTCCTGGCAAAGTATGCTTGTATTGGACGTAGCTGGAAATTGGCTGTTGAAGCACGCATTTTCAAGGAGATCACCGTGACTAGTGAAGAACTCGACCTCTTACGATACAGCTTCGCCTGTGAGCATCGGCGAAGCGTCGTTCGTAGTATCCATTTTCTGATCAAACTACCTACATATGGTGCTTGTTATCGCTACCAAGCTAATTAAGTGAATTTCAACATTGGGCGTCACAAATTTCAATCTCCTTGTAATGCTTCGGATTTTCTTGTCCACATAGTCTGTACTGATGAGTGAACATATGCATTAATACCTGCATATGGACCCATCAGAAGCTAATGGAAATGGCAAAGTGTTCTCCAAAGTAATATAAAACTTATTTTCATACTCGCGACGTGGAATAGAGATGCTGCTATCCAAGCAAAACCAAGAAGTGTGGGGGCAAGCGACGGGAGCCCCAACATCACATCATCATGCCGCATTCCACCGACCCCCCATTGGCGTATGAGCCTCCCGGGAAACGGCAGCAAGCGTTTCTACCTCTACGGTGTACTAATTTGCGCTCGCTCCTAGACATCTAAATCATCCCGATCACTTCATTTCCGCCCACTTTGCGCCCGTCCGTTCGGCGCCTTCCAGGCAACTTCTCCACCATGGCCATGGCCATGGCCATGACCATGACCATGCGTCTTCCGCCAGTCCCTCCGCCAGTCCCCTACTTTCGCGACCCCACGGACCTGCCCGGCCCCCTCCCGACCGCAGAGGAAATCAGCGATGGACTATCCAAGTCCGACATGTCTCTCCGGCGCAGCATTCAGGGTAGTGAGGGAGGCGTCTGCGTCGTCCGTGACATGTTCGTCGTCAAGGCCGGACACATGGTGACGGAAAACGAAGGGTCCACGCTCTTGTTTCTCGAACAGCAATGTCCCGGTATCCCTAGCCCCCGGCTGTACGCCATGTACCGTAAGGAATCCTCCGGACAGCTCTGTCTAGTCATGGAGTATCTGCCGGGCGTCGACCTGAGGTCGCTCTGGACCTCACTCTCACTGGACAGCAAGTCGTCCATCGCCTCGCAGCTGCGGTCCATGACAGCACAGATGCGAGCGCTCACGCCGCCCGACAGGTTCATCGGCGGTGTCTGCGGCGGCCCCCTGCACGACCCGCTGTTCTCCACAGTCAAACCCGACCGCACTGTCAACGGCCCGTTCGAGGCCGATGACCAGGTCGGACTGGCGCTTGCCACAGCATCCAAGCGCAACTGGGAGAACAGCGACCACCACTCGTGGTTGACCGACTACTTCTTGCGCCACCTTCCCGTCGCGCTCAGAGGTCACCGTGTCACATTCACGCACGCAGACCTGAACAGTCGCAACATCCTCGTGGAGAAGGTGCCACTGGAAATGGGCTTGGAGCGCGGGGCCGAGACGACCGGACTATCACCGTCAGGGCCATATCGGATCACCGGTATCGTGGATTGGGAGTCGGCTGGGTGGTATCCGGCGTATTGGGAATATGCCTCGATGGTGGGGCGGTTTCATTGGGACAGCGACTGGCTGGAGACCGTGGACGCCGTTATGGATCCCTACCCGCTGGAAGCAGCAATGTTCTTGTTAATCATGCGGGACCTGGGCTTTGCATAGTCGCCGGTTACCTATGTACTCTACATCCTAGTCTAGCAATTCTATCAGTTTCATAGTCTGGAATGGGATCTTGCCAGACCACGCTGAACTGCCGGGATCTTTTTCTGAATCATACTCCCTCTGAAAGCCCAGTGTTTATTGGGGCCTCATGACCTCTCAAGAACACCCGACCGGATGAACTGCCTCGAGATGAGATGTTGGTAGATTCCAAATGGCGAAGGTAGCGCAATTTCCCAGCTAGATTGGCGTTGGACGGGAAGACCAACAACCAACAATCAGTGGAAATCTAGCCAGTCAGACGTAGTAGACTCCAACTTGTTGGTTTGAACTTGCTTGTTGCAACCGATTTGCCGGCCCAAAGCTGAGGTCAACATAACCAGATGAACTTTTGCCTTCGCCAGTTGTTGGTGCCGAACGACACTTTTTAATCTGGCAATCTAGGCAAGGCGCTTGATGTAACCAACCAAACCGCATCTAGTCCCAACACACAGCTCCCACATCGCCTTTACACCAAACCACGACCATTCTCGAACCCGTGGCGTGGCGAGATCCAGAGAATTCTTTTCATGTGCCAAATTCAGTTCTGAAACGTCGTTATAGGGAATGTCCAATATAGTTGGGCATTCTATCCCGGAAGCGCGCGCCTTCGAAGAAGGCATTCAGATGCGGCCTTTCCGCAGAAAGCTGGCGAAATCACAATACTTTTACGAACACGGAAGTCACTGTGGTCAATGAGATGGCTTTTCTGGGATCTGTTTAGTTAATGAAATTTGTGGCGGGTATCAAGAATGAGGGTTCACCTTAGGTATTTGGTTAGCCGAAACGGTCTCTTGAACTACTATTAAAATGTGAATAAGAAGTCGTGCACTTCCATTCTCTCTGTTTATCACATCGCCCTCCTCTCCTATATTTATCGAACTATATCTACGGAGAAGTTTGTTGAGAATTGATCTGCTGCCTGCCTCCTGTCGTCAACGCCTTTATTAGTTACCTCTCGTTTGCCCCCTTCATTGTCTATCACAAAGATCACTCAGCCTTTTCCTACAGACAAAATGCGTGAGTGGATTGCCCTCACTAGTTCCAAAAGGCTATGCGATTTTCATGAATCTAATGTCAGTACGAGATGGAAGGTAGCGTGTCGTTGGTATTTCTCATCTTCGCCCTGCCGATCCCGACCGTGGTCTTCTACGGTAAGCAAATCTATTCTCTAGCATTAATAGCACAGACTGAGTTGACATACTTTAAAGCATTGGTGTTGACTGGATGTGTGGCAACGTCACCGGGGCTTCGGAATATCTTGTAACCATAGATCCATCGATTGGAGCGGAAATCCGTGTGGGATATTTCGGTAAGTTTGTCTCTTACTCGCTTCTTTGGGCGACTGGTACATCAACGGGGATAGAGCTTCAACGTATCATAATTCGAGATGGTCACGTCGGCTCCAGAATGGAGAGGTATCACTCGAGCGCTGGCGAAACCAGATTAACTCTTGGAGGTTTAGTCCGTTGATGATAGCAGCTGCGAAAGCATTGCTCCGCATGCCGCAAGTTTCGAATTTTGAATTGAAATTCGACATGAGCAACGTACCGTTTGGCCTTCACTACCTCAAGGCCTTCGAAAATGAAGATGAGCAGGGGGAGACAATCAATTTTCCGGCTCTTTATATTGACCGTATCGATGGGAAGGAATGGGAACCTAGCCAAGCTCTCCTGGCTCTGTGGCAGAGAATTGTAGGGGACACGGGAGAAGTTCGTCATGTGTTTGATTGCTATTTATGGGGAGGGCCGCGATGGCCACCTGCATCATGGTAGACGTAATCTCCAAATCACCAAATCATGTTAAGTAATCTTTCTCCTAAGCCGCCTACAATCAAATGTATATTTAGTCTTGAAAAGTCTTAGTTCGTTAATCAGTTACTATTATAACATTTACATGCTAGCCATAATTTCCATTTTATCTCTTTTTGTCTATGATGAAGACGGGTCATTGTTTGCTCTGTTTCTCAGTATACTCTTTGGCAGCTTTATCATACGCCTCCCCATAAGCTCCATACCACTTCTTCACCAACTCATTGCCCGTCCCCGCCGTAATCATGTCCTCTCCCCTCTCCCACTTCTCCGCCACCTCCTCCATGAACTCATCCACGCTCAGCGCCGCCGCGTTCTTCTCCTTCTTATTGTCATCCGGATCCTCCCTCTCGCGGTGCAGGTCCGTCGCCACCGTCGGCGGCGCAATCTCCACCACCCTGACGCCCGTGCCCTCCAGCTGCGTGCGCAGCGCCATGCTCCAGAAGTGCAGCCACGCCTTGGTGCCGTTGTACACCGGGTTGATGATGGAGAACGGGTTGAAGCCCAGCACGCTCGACACGTTGACAATCACCGCGCCGCCCTCCCTGGCGCGGAAGTGCGGCAGCAGCCCCAGCGCCAGATGCATCGGCCCGCGGATGTTAATGTCGAGTTCCTGATCCGCCTTTCGTAGGAACTCCTCCGGCGCGTCCTTGAGCACCTGGAGGGGCCGCTGCACACCGGCGTTGTTGACGAGGCAGTCCAGCTCCGGGTTCGCGGATGTGATCTTGGCGATGAACGCCGGGATGGTGGACACAGCGCCTGTGTCGAGGACGTAGTAGCCCGCAGCGTTGATCTCGGCCGCGGTGCTCTTGAGGTTGGACTCGGTGCGCCCGGCGATGAGGACCTTCTTGCCCTTTGAGATGAGATACTGCGCAATAGCCTTGCCGATGCCGCCTCCTCCTCCCGTGATCAGGGCACATTCGAAACTGAGTGCTTCAGAAGCCATGTTGGATGTAGCGGGTGTAAACAAAATCTACTCGGTGACAATTCACGAGAATGGCCTATACACCATTGAAGACGAGAGTGAATGTTGAAGCATCTTAAATGTGAAAACGAAATATGAAGCTACTGTAGGAAATCTATCTCTTTACCAATTGGATGAACGGTGAGTTTGGACGAAAGGTGACGTACAGTCAGATGCAATGTCATAAAGTAGTGTGCGTCATGACTAAGAGGCAAACTAGCACCCGATTGCCTCTGCTCCGCTGGTGCCGGATCGGCCTTCACATACTACGGAGCCGATGACACATTTCGTAGGGCTGCACGACGCCGGATTGCGGGGCCCGGGGCCTACCCTGTCGCCATACATCGACGCACATTGCGGAGGCATAATAAGCACGCCCGAAGGGTGCTCCGCACTCGGGGTTAGTTGAGGGTCATAATTTTTCCCCTGAGCACAGGCGTTGCTCGGTATTACCGATACAATGCTGCTGGTGAGGTTCGTAAGACACACCCATGCAATAAAAAATTGAAGAAAACGCATAGCCTTGCAGATTGGGGGAGACGATGGTAATCTGCTGCACTACTCTCATATCTAAATACCGTTTGGCGAATGTCTGCAGTAGGGATTTGAGATCCAAAAAAGGCGTAAACTCGTTTGACATCATATGGGTATCTATCTGGTATGTCATACGTAACAGGCCCCTGTGAAGGACGATCAGTCTTCCGGCTCAGTCATGTGGCTCGACCCACTGGGTGAAGGCAATAAGAACCTCTGTAAAGCCTCTTGATGGCTGTTCCCGCCTGTCTATCTCAACTTTTGTTGGCTCCCATCAAAACCATGAAACTCCGTATTGCCTGTCGCGGCCCCGCTGAATTGATGGGTCATCGCAAATTGGCCATGCTCCCAACACAGGCAGGCGACGTGCCGTTGTTGCCCTCAGCGTCCTCAAATGAGGCTCTTGTTGGACCAAACAGTTTTCTTCCCCCCTCAGTTGGCAAATATCCTGAGCTTTAGGTCAACGCTTCCGGTCGCAATAACACATCGAATCTGCTCCTCGACAGCACCTGCAGTGCCCTTCTTCGGCGTCCCATTCACACCATTAGCACCGTCTGCACCGCCGTTTGTTGCTGGAGCCTCCTTTACAACTCCAGGCGCCCACCGCAAACAACTCACAAAATGCTCGTGGACATCTGCGAGCGTCTTCACGCACTTTCCTTCCTGGGTGAGATCCCAACACCGGAGAGTCTTGTCGTCGGACACGCTGAGCAGATACTTTCCACCAGGGTGAAACACCAGTCCCCTCACCCAGTTATCATGTCCTGTCAGGACCTTGATGCATGTCCCCCTTGCATCCCATAGCCTGATTGACTTGTCTCTGCTGCCCGTTGCCATGTATTCGGCCGACGAGCTGGCGGGCGGGGGCTTCTTCAAGCCGGCGAGAGCTGCTAGATGTGGATACGCAGCAGGGGGCGCGAGGGTACAGCATTCGATGACATGTTCGTGGCCGATGAGTGTAAGCTTCGTTTCGGGATTCGAGGCGGAGATATCCCATAACCGTCCCATCTGATCGTTTCCAGCAGAGAGCAGGTAGCGTCCGTCGGGCGAAGGGCAGACATCCCGAACCCAGTCGACATGTCCACTCAATGTTTTAAGGCAATATCCAGTGCTGACATCCCATATGCGCAAGGTCTTGTCCCGACTAGCGGAAACCAGGAGGTTGCCCGAAGACGGCGCACCGGCGGCGCCAGATGGTATGAATCGAACTGCCGAGACGCTGTGGTCGTGTCCAGGCAGGGTACGTATATTCTTGTACTCGTCTGACGGGTCCCAGAGCTTGATCGTCAAGTCGCTGGAGCAACTCGCCAATAACGTTCCACCTCGAGGGCCGCCAAAGTCGACATCGAGAACGGCTTTTGTGTGGCCCTTGATTGTCCTCTCCATCTCGCCTAGCTCCCAGTCCCAGATCTTGATAGTGTAGTCTTCGGAGCCTGAGGCTAATGAGGAGAATATGGGGTGGAAGGCGACGCATGTAATGGGCTCTCTGTGATTTTGTAGTGTATATCGCGCAGGAGACCGAGGCAGCCAGCTCGTGGGGTCCTGGTTCCTCCGAGCCAGTGATGTAGGCGTTGCATTGTCTATTTCGGATTGGAGTGTGGCATTCCGTGACTCAAGGTCCATTATCTGTAGCGCAGTCAGTCAATCAACCACCCCCTCGTGATACATCACTTCTGCAGAGTAGGGGTATCCACCTTCTTCTGGAGCCGGACGACGCTCGTCCATTTCTTCTCCAGGAGACCCTCATATTTCTTGGAGGTGGCAGCGTCGAAGGTGTCGCCTATGCTCAGCTCCTCTCGGAGCGCTTGTGCGGTTTTTGGGAGGTTGTTGGAGGCAAGGTATGCGATGATGGATTTGTGCCTGCAAGAAAGTTGTTGTCAGTTGTTTATCACCTCGATGTTGGCTGGACTATGGCCGACGTACAGCTCTTCAGCTTGTCGGCTGGTCAGTATCTGGCTCATCCTGTCGACCGTGCTGCCGGCTGTAATCAGCATAACCGATTACCAGCAGTTGGCGTCGTCGTCGTTCCCTACGTTGTCTGGATGGGCAGTCGCAGTCAGTCGTAGCGACGGAGGCAGTTCCACCTGTCCACCGCCAGACTCGTGCGCTTGGAATGAGGGGCTCCTCCACTCGGTCGTTGTCACAGCCAATCGCGCGCTGATGAGGATCCGCAGTCTGGGGTGATAAGAGTATCCAGGTACCGGTATTCGATGTGGGATCGCAATGTTGGAAATGGCTGTCGTGGAGGTGCGCTCGTGGAGTGGGCAGTATATAAATTCTGGTCGGCACCTGGGGAGAGCTTTGTTTGGAGGTTTCAGATGGGCCCCTCCTAACGGAAGCTGGCGCCAGTGGCTTCTTTCTGGTCGGGGCTAGCAGCTTCAAAATGACAGATACAGACGGGACTGGCGGGCGGGTCTCGCCGGGAGCGAGCAGAGCAACAGACTATAGGCACGGCGTGCAGCGCTTTGAAGTGAGACAGCAGAACTGAAGTATCGAAGAATACGGGTTAGAAATGGCGGGCAGATGAATTCACAAGTTTCTTTCTGTCATCATCATCGTCATTATCAATGTATTATTCTATGCATAGAGTAAGGTATGGCAGAGAGAAACACTGCCCAAAGCAGATTGTGGCGGGGCAGGGCAGCATCACCTTTGCATACCTATAGCCTACCATACCGGTACCATACCTAGGACCTAGGTACATTATACCTAAGACCTACCGAAGGCAGGTACAGTACTCGTTGTTGGCACTTTCCCTCGTGATAGAAACCACGTACCGTATTGGATTTGACTCATATTTCAGATTTCATATGACGGTCCCGTCTCACAGCGACTTCCTAGGTACTACCGGTATGCAGTCGACAGATACATACCTAGGAGGGTAGGTAGCCAAACATCAGGTCCACCTGCATGCTTTGACATGGCGTACATATTAGGGCTGGCAGCAAGCTGGCGAGCAGTTGGCAGGTCCCTATCCCTATACCGGGGAAGGTGACATCACCCGCACCTGCCGTCGATAGTTGTTGTGTTTGTACTACTTACTGCATAGTACATGTAGTTTGTGGTGGGTCGTGGTTTCCTTTCCAGGCCTGTTCCTATGGCAATAGGCGGTGTCGCCCGATGTCCCGATTGGGCAGCCACCCTGCAGTAGTCAACAACGCCCAGCGCAGCTCTGGGCAGCGCCGGCGGGGAAATCTGCAGCACCAAAGGAAATAACGCCCCCAAAATAGGGGTTTCCTAGGAGGCCGTCTTTATGGAGGAAAGCACGATGCTCATCAGCCTCTTCAGTCACAAATGCAAGGAAGGTACAGACGGTGGCCATTCTCAATTTCTCAAGTCGACAATCTGCCTGACCCGCTACCACATCGTTCTTCAGTGTACAGGGCACTGAAATCGTCACCGTCAGTAGGTTATATTGGGTTAGCCTCAGGGAGGTGTGTGGCCCGAGTCACCCCTGGCAGCAAAGCAGTCCCATCCAGAATCCAGCCAAGTGGCCCGTGACACGTCCCGTCCCCCTTCCTGTGTGGAAGCTTCGCTCTCCCCTGCACGCACGCACGCACGCACTGCCCTGGAGCAAACAATTCATGTCTGTTCGCTTTGCCGACTCTCAGCACACGAACGCCCACCAAAAGGCGCACTCGCTGCCGCGTGCCTCCACTGTAAGTGCCCCGATAGCAGGCAAATGCCCCGGCCTTACGCAGTAGCTTACCTACCTGGTAGTACCCTGCCCTATCCCTGTGTCCGGCGCCAAACTTTCCGCTCCGGCAACGAACAACATCAACAACCTCAACTTCTGGCTGGATTCAGTCGCATCTAACCTTGTCGCTTGCGCAGACACATCGACCAGCGTATACCTTGCCCGCAGGTCTGAGCGACTGCTTCTACATCGAATTACAGCGTATTCGACGCGATTAAACTAGAGATCATAAGCTGGGCACGATCATCGGGTAGGGCACCACGCGATTGCATCTCGTTGAATTTGTGCTGTGCTGCGCTGCGCTGCTTGCACACCGGCCTTCGCCTCGCAACAACACAGCACGTCTCCTCAAAAGCACCGGCGGAGGCTTCTTGCTCATACGGCCTGGGACTAACATAGAGGATAGCTTCTCTGGAGTTTCGTATCGAACCAAGATCCGGCCGAACGACCCCACCTAGACACTAGACATCTCCTCTGGGAGGATTATATCGTCATACCAGCCCGACAGCGCCACCAGAACCAGCAAACATGGCGGAACAAGAAGAGGACTACAGCTCATTGCCACTGACAGATCGCTTTACTCACAAGGTACGCTCGCCCCGTCCCCAACCGCCTGCCCATGCATCCCTCTTGCTGACATGTGTATCGCGCGGCTTTAGGTATGGAAAGTCCGAAAACAGGCCTACGAGGAGGCCGCCAAAATATTCGAGGCCACACCCGACGAGCACGACAATGCGTTCAGACCCTTTCTCATGGACCCGGGGATGTGGAAGGGTGCCGTCGCCGATAGCAATGTCGCCGCCCAGCAAGACGGAATCGCAGCGTTGTGCGCGTTCCTCAAATTCGGCGGCAAGGAGAACTGTACAAGGACGAGAGGGTCAACGGTCACCCCCATCGTCGAAAAGGGTCTTTCCTCCACGCGAGCGGCCACAAAAGCGTCCGCTCTCGAGGCGCTATTACTCTACATTGAGCTCGACGTCCCGGGCCCCATAATCGAGGACATCCTCCCGGTGCTCTCCGCGAAGCAGCCAAAGGTTGTCGCCGCCGCCCTCGCAGCACTCACTACCATCTTCCACAACTACGGCTGCAAGATCGCCGACCCGAAGCCTGTTCTCAAAATCCTGCCAAAGGTCTTTGGTCACGCGGACAAGAATGTTCGAGCGGAGGCGACAAATCTAGCCGTGGAGTTCTATCGATGGCTACGGGAGGCCATGAAGCCCATGTTCTGGGGAGACCTAAAGCCGACACAGCAGTCCGATCTCGAGGCGCAGTTCGAGAAGATCAAAGCCGAGGCCCCGCCGAAGCAAGAACGGTTACTACGCACGCAACAGGCAGCGCAGGCACGAGCTCCAGCTGCCGGAGCAGCAGCTGACGAAGATGAAGGCGAAGACTTTGCTGAAGAGCCGGCCGAGATTGACGCATTCGACCTAGCAGAACCCCAGAATGTCCTAAGCAAGGTCCCTGCTGATTTCCATGACAATCTCGCATCGTCAAAGTGGAAAGAACGTAAGGAAGCATTAGAAGCTTTATACGCAATTCTCAATGTTCCAAGGATAAAGGATGGCGATTTCGGCGAGATCAACAGGGGATTGGCGAAGTGTATGAAGGACGCCAACATTGCGGTTGTCACCCAGGCCGCGCAGTGCATTGAAGTGCTGGCCAAGGGCTTGCGCAAAAGCTATGGCAAATACCGAAGCATTGTTATGCAACCTATCATGGAAAGGCTGAAGGAAAAGAAGCAGTCCGTGGCGGATGCCCTCGGCGCAGCACTTGATCAGGTCTTCCTCGCGACCAGCTTGTCGGAATGTCTCGAAGACATAGTGTCATTCTTGACCCACAAGAACCCGCAAATCAAAGAGGGCAGCATGAAGTTTCTTGTACGGTGTCTCCGGACAACGAGAGATGTTCCTGCGAAAGCGGAGATCTCACAGATTGTGGAGTCTGCGAAGAAGCTGCTGTCCGAGTCGAGTGAAGGTCTGCGGTCAGGAGGTGCAGAAATCTTAGGAACTGTCATGAAGATCATTGGCGAGCGTGCCATGAACCCCCATCTAGAAGGCCTCGACGACATCCGAAAGACCAAGGTGAAGGAGTTTTACGAGACGGCGGAAGTCAAGGCAAAGGACAAACCCAAGCCAGCACCGGCGCCCGCAGCACGTGGACCTCCAGGTGGTCCTAGAAAGGTTGTTGGAGGAGGTGGTGTGAAGAAAGCACCCATAGGTGTCAAGAAAGCTGCACCGGTTGCTGCGGCTCCACCGCCTGCTGCAGAGCCTCTTGCCCCTCAACCGACATCTCGGTCCGCACCGGGCAGCAAGCTTGGCATGCCAAAGCCATCCGGCCTAGGTGGTCTCAAAGCCCCTCAAAAGCGAACTCTCCCTGGCCCAGGCGGCGCATCACCCCGGCGGCCCCTATCTGTCGCGCCGCCAGCTCCAGTCGAAGAGGAACCTGCGCCTCCTCAGCCAAGACTGGGGATGGCTCGAGGCGGACTCGCTGCCCGATCCCTGGCAAAGCCTGCAACTGCTTCATCCTTCCAGCCTCCTCAACCCGCATCTCCGACGCCATCATCTGGGCTCACAGCCCTGGAACGAGCAGAGCTCGAAGAGCTTCGCGCCGCAAACGATCGTCTAACACGTCAGGCAGAGGAGTTCCGCCATGAACGGTCCAAGCTGCTGTCTGAGATACAAGAGCTCAAAAATCAGAATGCAGGGTTAATCGAGGACCACACGCGGGATGTTCTAAGCATCAAGGCAAAGGAGACACAATTGGTCCGAGCACGGTCTGACGCTGAAGCTGCCGAGGGGACGAACGACCGCTTACGCCGAGAACTTGACCGCCTTAAGAGGGCTCTCAGTAAGGCAGAAGCACTCGGCGTGTCTCAAGGCGGCCTTGGTAGTCCAGGATCTGCTGGCTTTGCTAGCCCAACCCACGACGACGTCGGCATCTTTCGCGATGGCGGAGCAGCTGGATACCGGCCGGCGAGTGCGAATAGGAATCGCATGAGCTATACCAGCACGCTCTCCGAGGAGAAGGAGAACGGTGAAGCACCACCCTCATATCCCCGATCCAAGCTGAGCCCCGAGCTTAGGTATGCTGGCAGCGCAGCAAGCAGCGGAAGAGGGTCGCCTGCGAGAGGCTTCAGACGGCCCGTGGATGTCGGCGGCGATGACGGCGCTGCCGCAGGCCCAGGACCTACGTCAAGCGCCTCTAATATGGGCTCCGGTGGCGGCAATGGTGTTGAAAGCTGGAAACGTGCCGCAGAAGTGACGAATCAGCTGAAAGCAAGGATAGAACAGATGAAGGTAAGTTGGCCGATGCCACGGATCTTTGACCCAAAGCCACATTGCACGAAGTACTAATACACAGCAGGCTAAACAAGGATTTGCGCGTCAATAAAAACGATCCAGCACTCTTGCAACTCGAGGTCTACCTAGTTGACCACGGACACATATTTGTTACTCAACACCTTTGTTTCTGATTTGTTGTTCATGACCGGCATTTTCGGGCGTCTGATGATGATGGCATACCCCTATCTCCCATTTTATTTCGGTATGACAACTCGGGCATGATCTGCGGATCAGTGGGATGGGTGTCCTCCTCTGTATGAGTTTATGGCGAATAGATATTAGTAATGATTATCTGTGATAGATGACAACATTGAGCATGACCATAGTCATGGACGTAAACATTGCATTCATTCGTTCGGGTGCGTATCATACATATGACATCGTGCTTCATTCATCTTCATAGGTTGGGCGCAAGTCAAAGAATTCATCCGCAGTTGTCTTCGCGAACTCCTCGGCGCCATAAAAGTTCGCCCTCACCTCAACCTTGTCCTGCGCATGGCCGAGGAAAAAGGCCTGCTGAGAAGCAGGGAGATGTGTCCGCATCGTGAAGTTGGGATGCGACGGGCTCTGATACCCCAGGCCGAGCATGATCCTATGCTCACCACTACGATTCGGCATCCCCGCATGCCACAGCCTCAGGTCCCGGATCATCACGTCTCCGCGGCTGACTTCGGGCTGCAGCGGCGCGCGCACGACCCTGCGCGCCTCCTGGGCCGCGTCTGCGATCCACGGCGTGCGCTCGCCCAGCTTGAAGTAGCGGCTCAGCTTGGCGGGGTCCGTCGCCAGCGCCTGGTCGTCGACGGACGTGGCGGCGTGCGAGCCCAGCCAGAACTCGGTCGCGCCGTTCTGCGCGGTGAAGTCGACGAGCGGCACGTTGGCGATGAAGTAGTAGGGGTAGCGCGGGTGCGCGAAGGACGAGTCCTTGTGCGCGGGCTGGCGGAGGCCCGGGGTGTTGGCGATGGCGGTGTTGGCTGTGAGCCAGTTCCAGATGGGCTTGTGGCCGAGGTAGCTTGTGTGCATTGTGTCAGTGGGATCTGTTCAGGGGGGAAGATGTGGTACTTGATGGGCTTACGCATTGGCGACTTGCAGAAGATAGGGGTTGAAGTAGACATCTTCGTAAAGCAGCTCGGGTCGGTCTACCGGTGGCCTTTGGAGGAAGTTTGCTGGATGGGCTCGTTAGCTCATGAAGGCGTGGATCTGTAGGTGTTCTGCCCTTACATTTCACGTTGTGGTTGTACTCTTTAGTGTCGTCTGCAATGATCTTCTCGGCGTCTTCGCACATGGCTTTATTCAATGCATCGATGTGTTCCACGTTGATAATTCCTTTCAGAACGACCAGGCCATCCTGATGAAGCGCTTCCAGGATCTTCTGCAGCGTCTTGGGACTATAAGAACGGTTCTGGTGCTCTTTCTCTGTAATGAGGAAGGCCTGCGGCTCGTCTCCCGTTGTTTGTGTCATTCTCGTCTTTCAAAAGAAGCAGTGCAAGTGAAAGGCTGACCTCAATGATGTATCCAGCGTGAGTAATTAGTTTTAGCTATGATAACAGGCTTGTGAAATCGGGAGACCTCCTACATCTCTAAAGCGGGTGTGGTCACAAAAACCGGCCGCCTCCGATCCGAAGTGCGGAGTTGTCGCCGGAATAGTCACTCGGGGGATGCGGCTTATCTTGCAGGTGAGGGGAAGAGCTAATCAGGATGCATCCACTGTCCATGGAGCAAAAAAGCGCTGCCAAACTACATCTTACGTCAGTGAAGCGATACAAGGCCTTGATATGACACGGATTAAGGCTCACATTCATGTTGGAGTCGAAGGTCCAGTGAAGCTTACCTTCTATGCCCAGTATTGTTGTCTGCGGCCAAGATGTCATCATGTTTTGTACCTCATGCCACGTAGACTCTTCATTTAGCTCTTTGTTGGCAGGGATCGGGCATATTTCATGGACGCTGCTTTGAGTTGATATCTCTAGTCCCATGGCTCAAAAGTAGGATTTGTGACAGCAGAGTTTAGAACAACCAAGACAGGCAGTCCGCCGAAACTTGAGAACTACCGGAAATGAAGATGCGCCTGAGCATCATGGCGTACAAACCACCTGGTTGACCTATGGCATTGTTAATCTCCACGCTTCCAAGCATTCGTTTTAGAGCTACTTCACATCAACAAATCGCATGACTTGATTTCTCGTTTCTCGAGTGTCTCCGTATTCCGCTAAAACGTCATCTACCAGTTTACTCCAGTTCTGCAATATGAAGGGCTTATTGCTGTTTTCGTTGCTCGCCTACATGATAGTGGCAATCAGTGCGACCCCTGGTACGACCTCTGGGCTCCCAGTCAAGTGTGCAGGTGGTCTTTGCCATAAAAAATTGGGTGGCCCTGAAGAAGTGACCGAAGATGTTGATTCCGTCCAAGCCATCCTGGAGAAATTCGGATCGGAGCAATATCGACAGAGTGCTGAGACGTTTTGCTCTAATTTCATGGATGCGACAGTCACACAGACCAGCACAGTCTCAGGAACGAAGACCTTGACGGACACTACCACGCCTTCAACAGTGACGGAGACATGGACTGTCGAATTGTGAGTGAAGCAATAGCTTTCTTTGGAGAGAAGGATTACCAAGACATGTTTGCTAATGGCCTATCGAAGTCGCCATGCCAAAGCGCACACGGCAAGCGATGATCCAGCCGTGATCAACGTCAAGCGTGTTGAGCACTTGCCTCCATGGCTCGATTCATCGTTCCCAGGGGATGCTATCAAGGGTGCGTGCTCACTGTTGCTGCCACACTACGCACCAGTAACGGTGACTGTGTCTGAGGAAGAGTTCACTTCTCGTGTGACGGTAAGCATCATGTTCGGTACGATTTTGTTGACCCCCTGACCAGATCGCAGGTGACCGCTCCAACACCGACCACGCTCTTGCAGATACACAAGATCGTGGTGACTACTTATACCATCACAAGGGATTGGGGCAATAGTAATACCACATCAGTCATTACCGGCATTGTCACGGGAATTTTATGAGGGGTTTGTTGTCTTATCTTGGTCAGAATTATAAATAGATCTATTCAGGACAGATTTGACGAGGTAAAAAACAAGACCTGAAGAAAGGATTATTAAGTGTTAACAAGTTTGCGCTATATGATGTCTCATCACGCTCCGGTCCAATGCTCTCTGGCCCATAGATTATTCTCAGGCTCCTTGGTCAAAAAGAGGTCGAGTTGCTATTGTGCTCCATTGTAACCTGCGACAACCGTTACTCTTTCAGACATTCAAGGATCTCGCTCACCCCTGCAAACGAAAGTTCGTTCATTGTCTCTGCCCATAACAGTTTCGCGATCCGCTGCCCCTCGGGTTGGTACACAATCGGCGCCATTCTGTGAACAAAGTGGTCAGAGCATTGCTTGCAGGGTGAGGCTTCTGCATTGAACTCACGGCTGAAGCTTGCCATCTTCGATGTAGACACCATGAGACTCGGGACCGTGCTTGACAGCAGCATCCGTAAGGGCGCGGGCGCCGACAGCCGTACTGCGGCCAAGTATGCGTTGGAAGACGCCAAACACAAAGCCTCCAAAGGTGCCTTTGAACTCCCTCGCAAGGCCTGATCCGTAACACAGTCCCGGATTGGGTGCATTGATGATTGCAACGGACGGCGGGACACGTTTGACTAATTCCTCCAGGAAGAATTGGCCGAGTAACTTAGTTGTCCAGTAACGGTCTTGGCCGTCGAAAAATTCGGGCTTGTCGAAGGCGGGCAGCAACGGCTTGGAATCTCTCTCCTTGAACTTCGCCCACGATGCGGTATCTGAGGACACCAGGACTAGACGACCAGGATGCTGTGGTGGGTTCTTGGATTTGAGGACAGGGAGCAAAAGAATAGTGAGAAGAGCAAGAGACAAGTAGTTCACCTGGGTAGCTTCATGTCCAGTGCTTTCAGTTGAGCTCTAGTGATGCCTTGATGAGACCGGCGTTGTGAACAAAGATATTTAGGCGCTCGAGAATCTTTGTGCGTTCGACAAAGTCAGTGATAGGGCTGTAAAGAAAGAGATTGAGCGGTCAGACTTCGATAGTATGTTTTCCAGCTACTTCCCCGCATGCAATGATCTTCCGGGCGGCATCACCCTTAGAGTCACTCCACACAGCGAGGATGAGTCTACTCAACCCGAGATCGAGGAGTTGGCGGCTGGATTCTAGGCTGATACCTGTACTCGATCCTGTAATTATGGCTGTCTTTCCAGCAAGATCGACCTCGCTTGGTAGGATCACCGGAGATTTGACGAAGAGTTGACGCTTGCAGAACTCGCTTTGCGTCGCTCGCTTCTCGGGCGGCTGGTCGAGCATGGATGCCTTTATATTTCTGTGGCTATGACGGTAGGAAATTCATATCATACCTCGTGGTGCCTACGGGTTCTCACATTTTGTCAAGAGATCGGATAGCCTCTCATACATCTGAGATTCGCGGGCTTGGACGAATCCAAGGGACCGAGACGAAGCGTTCATGACTGGCGCCTCACTTTAATCCTTGGTTTAGACAACGTCGCGCTCGCTATGACTTATTCAATCAACTGGGTGATCCATGCCAAGACAAATTGATATATTGTATGAGGTTTAGTCGGATACTGCGACATGACTGTCTGAGGCCGAGTGAGCATGGCTCGTTAAATTGGAGAGCATGTCGAGGATGCTACCAATCCTCACGTGCCAAAGATACCATTATCATTAATACCTTTAGATCTGTCTGCGCCCCTTTCTACTATGGATGCCATTTCCAGCGAGCAAGCCCTAAGATTTGCTGAATAATTCGAGATGTGGGGTGTTAGTCAGGAATGAAGGGCTCTTTCGTGGAAATACTGGGGAGGGAGGGAGGCTAGTATCGACGAGGAACTTCAAAATGTCTTGGCATCAAGTCAGTGGCAATGAGTACACCAAGCTAGGCTAGCTGGGTTCAAACAACGACTCGGGGTGTCTTAATCAATTCGGGCTTCTGAGACAAGAGATCGATCTAAGGCGTGTTTGAATGGAGTGTGCAATTTTTTTGTTTCCGGTCATAGCCGAAGCCGTTCAGCTCGTCCGATTCGTGCAGCATTGGCCGCCCTCAGCGTTGTGTTCTTGTAGCGAGAAGTTCAAGCTACGCCAGAAGAGGATATTGGGCTTAGCTTGGCATTCCTTCGTGACGAATCTAGGCTAACCCTAGCACTAGCGGCCTTTAATCTTTTGTCCCGCCACGATCAACTTTAGTTATCATCACTTCACAAGTTCAACACTCAGCACCGATGTAATGAATTGAGCCAATGCCAAGAACTAACCGCTATGAAGTACTGTGTGCATCAAATCCTGTTCTCTCGCTATTGAGCCTGGTAATCATATGGCTGCGGTAAAAGGTATGTCATCTCGAGGTAAACCCATGGAATGCCGACCGGGAAGCCTAGCACTAATAAATCCTCTGTTCCTATTTCTAGGAGAGGACGATTTTTTATTCATCGTTTCTACGTCGCGCCAACGACCCTTGAAAGGTCATCAGAGCCTGATAAAGAGCCACGTATCTCGTAGATTACCACGACGTCGACGCGGACGAGCTCTTCCATCATGGATTGGACAGATCGTGAACGAAGACTCCCCACAGGGGGGACAAGAATTCAGCAACTGCCTTACTATATCACGCAGAGTAGGTTCTGACTATTCTTGGATACGACTTCCCAATAATCCAAAGCCATATATGGTTCAAAACGTCCTCAAATGTGAGTTTCAAAATCTAGAACTAATCTCGCTCCAAGCTCAGTGTCTTGTTTTATTTAGTCTTTGATGTTGTGAAGCTCGAACTTTATCCCGCCGAAATATGCCTGTGGGACGAAGTCGCCGAGTCTTCTCCGATCACGTTTCTCATGGCCTCTCCTTTATTTGTCAATGCGGTACTCTTTATGATTGAAGCCGTAAGCGACTGCCGGTCGAACAAGCCTTGCGGTTTGAAAGCGCAACACCACCTTCTTGAGACGCTCAGATTACTACAAGAGACTCTGGCCTCAGAGAGTGGCCAAAACATATCCGATCATACGATAATGACTGTAAATATACTTGCCATAACTGCAGAAAGGCTCAATGATTCAGATAGCATGGCAAACCATGTCCAAGGCTTGAAACAGATGGTCAATTTACGTGGGGGCTTTCACCAATGGAAACCGTACATATATGATCTGCAGTCCAAGGTTTGCAGGTTTGTGCTCTTTAGACTCTTGAAAAAGGTACATCGTCTAACGCTTGCTAGGGCTGATCTCGGACTTGCTATAAGGTTTGGTCATCGACCATTTTTCTTCAACGATGAAATATCCTGGACGTCGTATCTACAGGCTACTGAGCGAGTACAAACCGTCCACTCTTCTCCGGAAAATGCAATCTCAACTCTGATTCGGCTCCTTGATTGGCGTTTGGTGAACGTGTTGACAGATCTTCGACAATTCTCCCATCTTTG